GACAGTGAAGATGAACTGTCCTAGTCACCTTGGAAACAAGTCAACCTCTGCAGGCCTCAGCGTCCTTCCTTAGAAACTAGGGAAGGAAGTAACACCCAGTTTCCTGGCTGTTGTCGGGGATCAAATGAGAAAACACACAACAAAAGTTTAGTGCATTGAGTTTTACACATACCTTGCAGCCAAAGAATGAGGTAACTAGTAGGAAATGGTATTTTTAAATGAAAACCTACATGAAATTATAAAAAAAAAAAAAAAAAACAGCATGGGCTCTTCACTAATAGCACAGAAATGAAAATTAAATTTGATTCTAACTCACTGCTCCTTAAGTCTTTAAAACCCAGTATTACTAATCTGTTTCTCTTCTCCTGGTATTTTGACAGGCATCCCCATTACAGGTTTATCAAGCTTGGGTTGCGTCGTTGCAGAAAAGAATGACTTCTCTGCTGGGGATAATAATACTGACGACATCCTGTTTTAAATCTGAGAGCTAGCATTTCCTTTGTGAGCAGGTCTGACTCCTGACAGGAACTGCAGGGCTACACATAGGTTAACTGACTTTAGTGGAGGTCCACATCATGGCCCAATCATTCTGCCTGTCGACCAGTGGGAAAGTCTGTCCATCTGACATATTTATAACTCCGTGGTTAAGATGTTTGCTTAATGCTCTTTTTTATTTAAAGGTCTCTGACCACTTAAACCTCTCCCCTTTTAACTTAGACATGCTTTGCAGACTATAAAAGCCCTTTAAGTACTTTCTTTATACTCATGTTACAATCTGGACCTAACAATTTTCAAAGAGTCGTACTTTGACAAAATTCCAAGATAATTATAACAATTGCTTTTTAAAAATGGGGGAAAAAAAACATGTTCGTGTTAAAAATAAAACCTTCCTTTAGATTTGAAATTTCAAGGAATTTTCTTTGCTTGCTTGCTGTAAGACACAATTCATATATTTGTGTGTGCTAAGGAAAAGAGCGGAATTACATTTTCACATACGTCTCAAATGTGTTTGGGAATGTCTGTTATTAACCTTGGACCTTGGTTCAAGACTAAGTTCAGAAATTGGAGGAAAATAAGGTTCAGGTTTGATTGCCAAATCTGTAGAGAATTATGAATTTCCTTTTTAACTTTGAGGCTGCTAGATAAAATAGTCAAATATATTTTGGCTGGTTAATTACATGCTATTAAATTAAAAAAATGATATTTGTAAGCAATGTTGGGGCTAAGTAATACAAATATCTTTATCAGCCGATGATAGTAAGACATCCTCAGTGTAAAGGGACATGAACGGGCACAAGTCCACACACACTCACACAAAGAGACAGGGTTCTTCTCGGTGCATGTGTCTAGATTTTCACAGCAGACCTGGCCATATGTTTCTTGTCTCAGTGGCTGCCCAATGAACTCATGCATGTGCATGCGAGTTCTAGCAGACAAGAAGTCATGGAAGCAATGAACGTAACTCATAATGAAACAAAGAGGTCAACTAGCAGCAAGCTAGGTCACTATAATGAAGAATTTTAGACTTCTTTAAGGAGTAATGTAGTGAATCCCATACGCTAATATAGTCATCAGTTGTGAAAGACAGTATGCATTCATATTGTAGGGTGTGATAGCCACCTCCATGTTTTGATTCTTTCTACCTACATTTATTAGAGCCTCTTTGTAGATGACAGGACAGGCTCAAGCCTAACACTGCCCAACATCTTAACAGTGGCTAAAATTCTGTGAAATAGTCTGTTGGCTTTTTTTTTAATTCCAACAATAAAGGGCTACTTGTAGAATCCAAAACAATAAGAAACAGGGTTTGAATTCACCTTTTTGTTATGTGATAAATAGAATGAATACCTTCCCCTAGTGTGAGCTTGAAGTATTAAGAAGCTGGAGAACTATGTTCATATAGAAAATTTATATATGTTAAAAGCAAGCTTTACATTTCACCAGACATTTTCTCCTAAGAAAATAGTTACCCTGTTTAATTCAACAAGAAAAAAATATTGAATAATTGATGAGGATTTGTGGAGTTGAGAATTGTAAACAAGACAGTATTTCAATAAAACAGCTTTAAAGTCACTGAGTAGACTCCCTCTGTTGTATTTATTTATACTTCCTTTAGCACCTATCATCTTCATATTGAGGCATAAAAGCACCGGGCATAGTATGAGAATGAAAATATTACGATTCTCTCTAATTTGTCTCTCAGTGAGAGCTGTATATACATTTCTCTGTTTCAAGGACTTAAAATGCCTTATGGACTACAAACACACAACAACCATTATGTATGAAGTAGAAAGGAGTGACACTACATTTGAACTTGAAAATGACTTAGTAGTTCACTTCAATACAAACAATATACAAATGTATAGATGTAATAGTGGTGATTGATGGTCCTGTGCTCGATTGCTCAGGTCTTGGTTTCATTATCATCTTGGGCAAAGCTTTCTTCACTGTCACCATCTTGTCCTTGCCAGTTAAGTTCCTGAGATGTGTAGTCAGCTGCTAAGATGGTCAAGGTTTTAAGCTCGTACCAACATGCAATATATGATATAATTTATAACCAGAAAATAACAAGAGTATAAAACGTGCAGATGCTAGCACATGGCTGCATGCATATGTGTTTGCCTGCACAGGGGTGTGTGCATATGCATGTGTGTACATGTAAGGTCAGGGGTCAATCTCAGATGTTGTACCTTAGGAACTACCAGCTTGTTTTTGAGACAAGGTCTTTCTCTGGCTTGAAACTCACTGACTGATTCATCTTGCCCAGTGGCCCGTGAGTTCCAAGAACCCTTCTGTCTCTGTCCCTCTAGCCCAGGGTTTACAGCAGCTCAGCACTAAGACTGACTTTTATAATTGTTGCTTTGAAGACAAAGTGACATGAAAACTCCAAGGGCTCCAGTTTCTGTACATACGCATTCTGAACTTGTTTATTCACAAGTCTTTATTGAGTGCCTACTTCACGCTAGGTTGATTCCTGCACAGCGGGCTTGGTAGAGAACCTGATTAAAAAAAAAAGGTCCTTCTGGGGCTCCTCATCCTGGCAGTGAACAGCAGAGAGGCAGGAAGACTATATGCAGCAAGAGTGGCGTGGTATGTTAGGTGGGGATACATGCTGCGTGGAGGAAGGTAAAGGGACTAAAGAACAGGGAAGTTTGGAGGTTCTGTGGGCTACTGTAGCTTGATGAGACTCATCTTGCGAAGGTGAGTGAGCTGCCAAATGCTCTGCATGGCGTGCGGCGCATGGTAAACGCTAATAAACATTAGTTTAAAACAGAGGAAGCGGGCTGGGCGTTGGTGGCGCACGCCTTTAATCCCAGCACTCGGGAGGCGGAGGCAGGCGGATCTCTGTGAGTTCGAGGCCAAGTGAGCTCCAGGAAAGGCGCAAAGCTACACAGAGAAACCCTGTCTCGAAAAACCAAAAAAAAAAAAACAGAAAACAGAGGAAGCGAGTGGCATCAAAAGCTGTTTCGAGGAAGCTTTTCAATATGTCTTTATTTATTTGTTTGTTTATTTTTTCTTCAGTGATTTTCCTCTATTTGCCCTGACCATTTCCCTCTGGACTTGAAGTTAATTCTGTGCTTAAACAAAGATTATTTATGAACTGAGTGAGGAACTGGCAGATCAAAACTGTCATGGGTGAATTATCCATAATCTGCCCCTGTCTTGAGGAAGAAGGGTTAGGGACAGGAGTGGAGCAAGGGCAGAAAGCAGAGGAAGACGAAGAAAAAGTAGAATTAGAAGAAAAAGAGAAGGAAAGAAAGAAGTCTATGTAAGCCTAAAGTTGTCTTACGCCGTCAATGTTAACTCTGTGTACTCTAATTGGAGGTTGGGTCAATTAAAGCCAGATGTGTGCCAAATCTTTGTAAATTTAACTAGCTGGCTCTAAATAGTTTTCAGAACTGAAGTATCGACACATGAATTTCTTTGGATTATTTTTCACTAGAAAAGGTTTCAGTAATTTAGTAGGGGGTTGTACAGAGATATATTTTAATAGTGAACAACAGTTCTTCCTGCTGAAAAACACGAATGATTCCAATACCGAAAGGGAATAGTAGCTGGGCGTGGAGGTGCATGCCTGTCATCTCAGCACTTGGAGGCAGGAACACTGCAAGTCTGGGTATCATAGCTTATCCTGTGGAACAAAGAAACAAAAAAGAAAGAAAGAAAGAAAGAAAGAAAGAAAGAAAGAAAGAAAGAAAGAAAGAAAGAAAGAAAGAAAGAAAGAAAGAA